TTTACTCTTTATTGTTTTTAACGGGCGGGCAAGTGGGGAAGGTCGTGTTTTCCCTCCGGTTTCAACGCCCTCCAACTCCCTCCCCCCCTCGTTCCTGCCAGATCGATGAGTTCTACGTGGGCCCGGTGCCTCCGAAGCAGGTGACATTTGCCAAGCTGAATGATAACATCCGCGAAAACTTCCTGAGGGACATGTGCAAGAAGTATGGGGAGGTGGAGGAGGTGGAGATTTTGTACAACCCCAAGACCAAGAAGCACTTGGGCATCGCCAAGGTGGTCTTTGCCACGGTCAGAGGCGCCAGGGAGGCGGTTCAACACTTGCACAGCACTTCTGTCATGGGTAATATCATCCACGTGGAGCTGGACACCAAGGGTGAGTGAGGCCAGCGGCCTGCCCACGGGGAGGAGCCAAGGAGACCTGTCAGGGTGACCCTTCTCCCTCCCGGTGCCCCCTTCTGCCGTGTTGTCCCCACAACACACACTCACCACCTTATTTATTTTTTTTTTTTGCCCCCTCCTGAGGGTAGAGTCACATGGAGCTAAATGTGTTGTCTGTTGCTAGGAGACAGGCTATAATTTACCAAACGTGCCGATCCTTGGCCACTGCTCCCTGGGGACCATCGGAGGCTTTCCCCCCTGGTGGGCCCCTCTCTGAGCCCTGGTGGCCTCTGTTAGATAGTCCCCAGTGCTGCTGCCTGTGCTCGGGGAGGAAGCAGGGTTTGTTTATTTGCGAGGGGCCGAGGGGGGCACTGGGATGCCTTTAAACACAGCAGGAGAAGCTCCCTGAATTAAAACGGGGGCCCTTCGAGTTCCCAGGGTGTCCTGGCCCCCCCACGATGCCCCTTACCCCCGGAAGCTGGAGCCAGCCTGGCCAAGAGTGTTGTTTCATTGATAATGTTCCAGAGGAGTGGGGCGGGCTGTTCTGGTGTTGGAGGGCTGACACTGAGTCTTCCTCCTCTCTCTTAAAGAGACAGCAGCACCTCCCCTGCGCGGAATCCGGACTGGCTGGGTGGCTGCTGGGAAAGCGGGGCTAGGGAGGCCACACCTCCCACCTCAGGGGCCCAGAACCGCCTCCTGAACACTGGCTAGGAACTCTAGGGCTTCCTCCAGAGTTTGCCCGTGGCCCCTCTAGGGAAATCCCCACGAGAGGTGAGGATTAGGGAGCTGGCTAGGATGGAACAGATGTGCCAACTGCTCTGAGTACCAGCCCTGTGGTTGGGCAGATACTGGGCTGCAGAGCCCCCTGGGGTCCCTGGGAAGCCCCTCTTGGGAGGACCTGGTGGATGGCTTCCAGGGTTTGTGACTGCCAGGGTTCAAGGGACACCCGGGCACACCATACCCCAAACAGGAATACCCAAACTTTCCTTGTTTGTGTTTAATAATTAACGCTAACTTGTATTGACTGAATCCCGGACTAGGCTGAGTGTTGTGAAGGGACCCACTGGTGCCCAGAAACATTTGCCGAGCCTGCACCTGGTTCTTTGTCTCAGGGGACAAGCCCCACGGTCGGCCCCCCTGTCACGCCCCCTCCTCTTTCCCCCATCCCTGGTCTCCACCTCTGGGAGGGGACACAGAGAGGCGTGAACCCTGCGCACCCCTTTGGATGGCTGCAGTGATTTCTCCTAGAGAATCCACTGTGGGGACTCCTCCCCCACCACTCCCCCACAGCAGCCAGCTTGCAACCAGAATTTCGTTTCTGCAAAAAAAAGGCCCTCAGAGACTGCCAACAACAAAGTTTGTATTTCAAGAAAGAGAGAGATCAGTAAAGTGTAGCTCAAGGAATGCGGCTCTTTGCATATGTAAGCAGCTGCCGTGGAGGCTCTATAAATACCCGCCGGTGCGGCTCGAAAGGCCTCTGGCTGGGGGTTACAGCTGGGACAGCAGGGGCTCCTTGGGACTGCCTCCCGGGCCCTAGGCAGAGTTGGGGCCCCCTGGGTGCCCAGCCTGGGCAGAGGCCTGTGGGGTTCAGAGCAGCGTGGTGCTAGAGTGTATTTTCCATCTCTGCTGGGTGTCTGGCCCCAGATGGGTTGGTAAACCATCACCTCTGTGTTACCAGTCCCTGAGTGGTAAGCAGGAAGGCAAAAGCAAGGGGAGAGCTGCTGCTTCCCTCAGGGGGCCGGGGCCCAGGTACTGAGAAAGGGGCTTTGTGTTGGGGGCATTTCTAGACGTGGGGGCGTCAGGCTTCACGATGTGTAGAGTTCCGGGATCAGACAGTTACGACAGCTGGGCAGAGGAAGGCTGAGGCACCAGGAGGGGTAGGGACATGGTCAAGTCCATGCAGCTTCTTCCCCAGGCCTGAAGCCTGGGCCTGAGGGATCCACCAGGGATGCCGGGCAGCGGGGAATCACTGTGGGGCCCCATCCTGGAGCCTCACTGATCCCCTCACTCCATACCCTCCCCCAGGGGAAACCCGCATGCGGTTCTACGAACTGTTGCTCACAGGCCGCTACACGCCCCAGACCCTGCCAGTGGGCGAGCTGGACGCCGTCTCTCCGATTGTGAACGAGACCCTGCAGGTGGGTTTCCCCTGCCCCCATCAGCTCCCCGGTGCTGCCACCCCACCCTATCTTCTACCTCCTTTTCACCATTTGCAGTTTCAGGGACTTAGCCCGGCCACACCCACGGCAAGGTCAGAGGTGGGTGGGGTATTTAAAAGCCCTGTTTTCCCAGCATCCCTTTCAGTGTGGCTCCCCTAGGATCCGGCCCATTCCCTGTGGCTTTCAGCTGCACCGCGTCCCTCCCTGCAGCCCTCCCTCAGCACAAGCTGGGATTCCTACAGAGCCAGACCCCACTGGGGGCCTGCTTTTCCACATTGATTTTGAAATGCTGCAGGCCAGGCTCCCAGAGGCTGGTACCCTATGCATCCCTCCATCCCTGCCCCCAGAAAGCAACGTTCAGGGCCCCCTCTCCAGACCAAGGCTGCCACCTTCCCTACCTGCTGCCTCCCAGGGCACACACCTGGACGAGCCTCACACGGGAGCTGCTCCTCCCAGCTCCTGGACCCAGCCACCTTCAGGTGTACTTTTTCCAGGATGAAGAGTCCTTGCTTGCTTGCTGTTCAAACTGGGTTGTTCATTAGGCACTGTTTCTCTGTGACCTCGTTAAATCCTGAAACTCCAGGGTGGGAGAGTAGGGCCTTGGCGACCCTCTCACTCCCAAGACCATAGTTCTTCCCACTCCCCTGCTTGGGAGGTACCTGATTTCTGACAGCCTGCGATTGGAAGGGAATCCCAGCTTAAACCGAGATGTTGGGGTCTCCTCTCTTCTTCTCCATGTCTAGGATCAACGAGCCCTTGAGGTTCCCTGAGGATATCAGCTACCTCAGGATTAGAGTGAGGTTAGGATCATCCTGATCCCAAACCCAGACCTAGTGTCCTGAGTCAATTCTGACTCACAGCATCCCTATAGGACAGAGTAGAATTGCCCCATAGGGTTTCCAAGGTTGTCAGTCTCTATGGAACCAGACTACCACATTTTTCTCCTGAGGAGCAGCTGGTGGGTCCAGCCATCCAGATACCCCTCCTTAGTCTCCTCTTCTCCCTCTTCCCGGGCTGTAGTTCGAGAGCAGTCACTCTGGCCGTGATCCTCCGGCAGTCCGAGAAAAGGGCAAGCAGCCCAGTTCCATTGCGTGTCTCCCGTCCGTCTGCTGTGGTCTTACATCCCTCTCTGTTTCTAGCTGTCTGATGCCTTGAAACGTCTCAAGGATGGTGGCTTGTCTGTGGGCTGTGGCTCTGGCTCCTCGTCTGTCACCCCCAACAGTGGAGGGACACCCTTCTCCCAGGACACGGCTTACTCCAGCTGCCGCCTGGACACACCCAACTCCTACGGACAGGGCACGCCACTCACGCCTCGCCTGGGCACCCCCTTCTCGCAGGACTCCAGCTATTCTAGCCGCCAACCCACACCCTCCTACCTCTTCAGCCAGGACCCTACCGTGACATTCAAGGCCCGGCGCCATGAGAGCAAGTTCACGGACGCCTACAACCGTCGCCACGAGCATCACTATGTCCATAACTCTTCTGCAGTCACTGCGGTGGTGGGGGCCACGGCCACCTTCCGAGGCTCCTCAGACCTCCCGTTTGGGGCAGTTGGTAGCAGTGGGGGCAACAGCAGCACCCCCTACAAGACCCAGCCACAGGACTCGGCCGCGTTCGCCCATACGCCACCGCCTGCCCAGGCAGCCCCTGCTCCCACTCCCGGGGTCACCTTTAAGTCGGCTTTCTCTCCGTATCAGACCCCAGCACCCTCCTTCCTGCCACCCCCTGAGGAGCCCACCGCCGCGGCCACCTTTGGGGCCCGTGACAGTGGGGAGTTCCGGAGAGCACCTGTTCCCCCGCCCCTGCCGCCCACCGAGCCTGTGGCCAAGGAGAAGCCAGGCACCCCACCTGGCCCCCCACCTCCGGAAAGCAACAGTATGGAGCTGGGTGGCCGGCCGACCTTTGGCTGGAGCCCCGAGCCGTGTGATAGCCCCGGCACGCCCACGCTGGAGTCGTCGCCCGCAGGGCCCGAGAAGCCCCACGACAGCCTGGACTCCCGCATCGAGATGCTGCTGAAGGAACAGCGCACTAAGCTGCCCTTCCTGCGGGAGCAGGACTCGGACACCGAGCTGCAGATGGAGGGCAGCCCCATCTCCTCCGCCTCCTCTCAGCTCTCCCCGCTGGCCTCTTTCGGCACGAACTCCCAGCCTGGCTTTCGGGGCCCCACGCCGCCTTCCTCGCGCCCCTCCAGCACCGGCCTGGAGGACATCAGCCCCACACCACTGCCCGACTCGGATGAGGACGACGAGCTGGACCTGGGGCTGGGGCCTCGGCCCCCACCTGAGCCAGGCCCCCCAGACCCTACCAGTCTCCTGGGCCAGACAGGTGATGGGGCCTCCGAGCTGGCTGGTGACAGGACCCCAACCTCAGAGAAGATGGACGAGGTACTGCTATGTTTGTCCATCTCTGTTTGCGATTGATTTTGTCTGTCTCGTGCCACCTCCTTCCCCCTTGCAGCATTTGGATTAACTAGCTAAGGTGTAGACACAACAGGGCCAGGGAAGGCAGAACAGCACACAGAATGCAGAGAATACAAGAGCATGCAAAAAGCACCAGGGGCTGTGATCGAAGAGCTGGCTGGGCTCTGAGCTCCCTGGCAGCCATGGGGAGAAGGGGAAAATGGCCTAGTTCCCTTACTCTCCTCGTTAGACTTTCCAGGGATCAATTCTAACGTGAACTTCTCTGGTAGGATTTTGCTGTGACCTCAGAGCTTTGGGCTGTAGTGATGGTTCTGGGTCCTCTCTGTTGGTGGCTCAGGGGTGCTCAGGCCTGGTCCTGAAGTGCAGACAGATTGAGGGACGGGAGCTGGGTTGGGCCAGGTGGACCCCTGGGACATTCTCTCCTAGAGCCTGGTGCCCTTTGGGGAGATGGAAAACCACTGCCGGCAGGGTAGCGTCCCTTTTCTCACCCTGGCTCTTGGGGTAAGGGAGCTGAGGGCCAGCTCAGAGAGAGGGTTGCAGCCAGAGGCTGGCGAGGTTGCCAGCCCCAAACTAGACCCTCTTTTGGGGTCTCCCTGCCAAGGCTCCCGCCTGAGGAAGTCCCACTGAGAGGTTGGGGGTGTGTGTGTGCAGTGTGCTGCACTCCCGTGGGGAGGAGTCAGGCCATACTCCTGGCCTCTGGCTCCTCCCCTCCTGGCCCTGGTGCGGAGCCCTGGGTGAGAGCCTGTGTGGGCCCTGCAGGTGTGAGGGCATGAGCTGCAGGTGGGTGGAGGGGCTTGGATGGAGCTCTGTGCCCCTGTGGGCAGCAAGAGGGAGGAACTCTGAGCCCTTTGATTAGGCCGGCTTGGCCGCCTCAGGGAGGAACAGAGAGGAACTTGGCCTGCTGGGGAGGGAGCCGCAGGTGGCTGGGGCTTCAGGAGGGGGCTCTCTGTGGTTCTGGGGGAAGTGGCTTCTGGCGTCCAGACGGAGGGAGGTGACAGGTGTACAGAACAGAGGGGCTGCTGGGCTCTGCCACCCCCCTCCTCCTGAGCTGCCTGGAGTCTGGGGCTATTTTAACATGTCGACCAGCTGGTCCAGGGCTGGGAAGCCCAGAGTAGCCAGAAAGAGTGGGCTCCCCCACCATGTCACTGTAGGAAAGGGGAGACTTGGGCACACAGAGCTGGGGAGGTGGGATGACCCGCACTTTTAAGGCCTTGGAACTACGCTACCGGTAGCCTCCAGTCCGGCCCTCGGGAGCCCCCTGCTGGCGGCCAAGGAAACAGCGCCTGGGCTTCTCGGACGAACCTGAGCGTCGTAGGCCCAGAGGAGCCAGCAAGGGAGCAGGGCAGAAGACTACCCGTGGAGCGGGTGAAAAGACTGTTTTCAAATAGGCAGAGTGGCTGGAAACTCTGGGCCCAGGCTTCCCCAGCTCAGTTGCTTATTGGTTATGTAACGTTACGGGAGGCGCTTCACAGGGTCTCCGTTTTGCCGTCTGTCAAATGGGATGGTGAGAGTACCTACCTCACACTGGTCTCAGTTTAAGGGGAGGGCTTCAAGGCTAGGCTGACCGAGGCACTGGGCACTAGTTCCTTCGGAGGTTCCCACCCTAGGTGGGCTGGCAGGAGGGAGGGGCTGAGGAAGGGGCAGGACCCGAGGAGCCGATCTCCTTGTGATTGGCTGGCTGAGGGGGCTGGCTTAACCCTCTGTGTTCTGTGTCTCCCTGTGGGCTCTGTCCAGGACTGATCTCCTAGGGCGTTTTGGGGAGTGACATGCTGAGCCTGGCATCCCTCACTCCCAGCCTATGGCATGGGGACCCTGAGTGGAGAGGGAGCGTGTATATGTATGTGTTTAAATGTATATGTGTACACAGGTGTGTGTTTAAGTGTATGTGTGCACAGTGTGTGCACACATGTGTACGGGTGTGTTATGTGTTAATGGACGTATGTGTAGGGGACTGGCAAGGGTCATAGCTTCCTACTCCTGCTTTCTCCTGCCCTCACCTGCATGTCTGGCCCCTGACCTTGCAGCCCACCCAGACCCACCCCTCAACCCACAAATGCACTGTGTCCTGCAAGGCAGAGCTCTGACTCCGTCAGCCAGGCACTCAGCAGTTCACCCGGCAAGGCCAGGGCTCAAGCCACGGCCCCTAGAGCTTTGGGAGTAGACCCTGCTCGCCCCTCCCTGTCTCTTTAACGTAATCACATAGGAGTAACGATAATGATAATCAGGCTGTTGGCTTCAGCTCCCCAAGGCTTTGGGTCCCAGAGTCAACAGACCCTTACCCACTCCAGCCAGGTGTAAGTCACCCAGGCGCTCTCTGAGTGTGTTTCCTCATCTGTCGTCCGAAGAGATGATAAGGACCCCCGCTTTACAGGGAGGCCATTGAGATGAATAAGATTGAAAATGAGACCGTGCTGGTGTTCAGCACCACCCTGGGTGCATACTAAGTGCACAGGACAGTAATAGGTGAGAACAGCAATAACATAGAATAAAGGCATTACTTTCTGAACCCTCCGTGCCACTAAGCCCACCTACTGTCACCTCTGCAGAGGCCCTCTCCCCTAGGACAGAAGGCTAGCTCAGAGCATAGACAGGAGCCAACTTGCTGCCTCGAATTATGCCTCTCTCTCTTACTGGCTGTGTGGCCTTAGGCAAATTAATTAAGCTCTCTGTGTCCCCATTTCCTCATTGTAAAAATGAAGAGAGTAGACCTATTCCGTAGGGTTGTTCTGAGGCTTAACTGAACTAATCTATATAAAGCACTGAGAACATTAACTCCAGGACTGTTAACTGTAGTCACGTGCTATAGAACGCCCATCCGGGCAACGTCTGACTGTGTATCCGTCAGAAAGCCCAGTCCTCTCCTCCTAAAGCCTCTCATGTTAAACATTGGAGGTACAGACATTGGTTCATAATAACAAGCAGGGGCTACTTTGTAATGCACAGCAAGATGTTATTATTATTATATTAGTGTGTTGAAGATGTTTTAGTGGATTTGGAAGTGTGTTTTTAATATTTCTTATGCATAGAAAGGTACGCTACATACTATACACTAAGACGAACTTTTATGTTGGATACAAACTGTGCCTAACTGTTCCAACTGATTATACAAATTCAGTTTGAAGACAGACTTCAGAGTGGCACTCACTTGTAACCCAGGGACTTCACAGCATCCGGATCCCATAATGTCCTATTGCACAGAACGTATCGTGGACATTAAGTGACACATGACTGTATTAGTATTATTGTCTCTGAATACAAATGGGAACAGAATCTACTTCCGTCTGCATGCCTCCCCCCCTCCTAGGCTTAGTCTGTCTCTTCTGCACCCTGCGCAGTAGTTCACGTTGTGCCTGGTTCCTCCTGGCCTCTGCATTCTGGAAGATCAGGTCCATGACAGCACAGTGGTAGGGACACTAGAGGTGTCGAGTGAGCGTCTGTTGAATAAATGACTGAATCTCCATGATAACTCCCTGAGATGAGTACTGTTATCCCCACGATGCGAGTGGGGAAACAGGCTTAGAGAGGGTAAGTGACTTGCCCAAGACCACACGGCTGGGAGGGTGGGACCAGACCCAAAACTGCAGGGTCTATGTTGTTATCACGGTTCTTGCCGAAGCCTGCTGCTGCCATTGCTTGATGCTCTGAACGGGTTCCTGGAGCAGGCTGGGCCTCCCGGCCTCACCCTCATCCTCTCCCCTGCTCTCCCTGCAGGGCCAGCAGTCCTCGGGCGAGGACATGGAGATCTCAGATGACGAGATGCCCTCGGCTCCCATCACCAGCGCCGACTGCCCCAAGCCCATGGTGGTGACTCCCGGGGCGGCGGCTGTGGCGGCCTCCTCCGTGCTGGCCCCGACGTTGCCACTCCCCCCACCACCTGGCTTCCCGCCGCTGCCCCCGCCCCCGCCGCCACCCCCACCGCAGCCTGGCTTCCCCATGCCCCCACCTCTTCCGCCACCGCCACCTCCACCGCCCCCAGCCCACCCAGCCGTGACAGTGCCCCCGCCACCCCTGCCGGCACCACCGCCACCCGGTGTGCCGCCCCCACCCATCATGCCACCGCTGCCCCCCTTCCCGCCAGGGCTCTTCCCCGTGATGCAGGTGGACATGAGCCACGTGCTGGGGGGCCAGTGGGGCGGCATGCCCATGTCCTTCCAGATGCAGACACAGATGCTGAGCCGGCTCATGACAGGCCAGGGTGCCTGCCCCTACCCTCCTTTCATGACTGCCGCGGCCGCTGCCGCTGCCTCAGCCGGGCTGCAGTTCGTCAACCTGCCCCCCTACCGGGGCCCCTTCTCCCTGAGCAGCGCCGGCCCGGGCCGTGGGCAGCCCTGGCCCCCGCTGCCCAAATTCGACCCGTCAGTGCCGCCCCCGGGCTACGTGCCTCGGCAGGAGGACCCGCACAAGGCCACGGTGGACGGCGTCCTGCTGGTGGTGCTCAAGGAGCTGAAGGCCACCATGAAGCGGGACCTGAACCGCAAGATGGTGGAGGTGGTGGCCTTCCGGGCCTTCGACGAGTGGTGGGACAAGAAGGAGCGCATGGCCAAGGTGAGTGGGTGCCGGGAGCCCGGGCCCGGCGGGCGGGCCCAGGACCCGGGCGGGCTCCTTCCTTCTTCCTTTCCAGGACACGTTCCTGGGGGCGTCGCTGCCTGCATCCCACCGAGAGCAGCACGTGATAACCCGCCAGCCACGCTTAAGTTCATGTTCATTAAGAACATTTGTTAGGATAAAACAAAGGTAGAAATCTGGTTCCTCAGTGGCGCTGGCCCCACGTCAGCTGTGCCAGGGGCTAGCATAGTGGACCGCACAGAGAGGGGACATTTCCGTCACCTCCTAGTTCCACAGCTAAGGGACCTTTTGACCTTAGTCCCGCTCACTGTCTCTGCTGCCTTCTTTGACGTGGATTCCCGTGTTGGTAGGACTACTTTTAGCAGAAGTATTTTTGTTATCTGGTCGTTCTTAATCTCACAAATGACCTGTAACTGCTCTCTCCACACTGTTGTTGTTGTCGGGCTCCGTCGAGCTGATTCCCACTCACAGAGACCCTCTATAACAGAGTACAGCTGCCCCATAGGGTTTCCCCGGCTGTGTGCTCTGGTGGCTCAGTGCCTAAGGCATTTGACTACTAACCAGAAGGTTGGCGGTTCCAACCCTCCAGCCATTCTGTGGAAGGAAGACGGGGCAAATCTACTTCCATAAAGATTCATCGCTTCGGAAACCCAGTAGGGGTTGCTATGAGTCGGAATTGACTCAATTGCAGTTGGTTTGGTTTTTGGTTTGGTATGTAAAGTAATCCTTACGGAAGCAGAGCCCAAACCAGACCCACTGCTGACGGGCTGATGGGTCTCCGGAACGAGAGCTGCTCCCTGTGCCGAGCGCCCAGCGTGGCCTCTGGGTTGATTCTCGCAACGTCCCTGAAGACTGTGTGTTTCTGAACAGCAGGGGCTGCCCAGGAGTACACAGTGAGATACACTTAAAAAACCAACAGCACTGCTATCTGGTCCATTCTGATTCATAGCGACCCCCGTTGGGTCTCCAAGGTGGTAAACCTTTCCTGAAGTAGATTGCTTCATCTGCCTTCCGTGGAGTGGCTGGTGGGCTTGAACCACTAGCCTTCTGGTTAGTAGTCACATGCCTTGGGCACTGCCCCACCAGAGCATGCCACCAGAGCTTAGGCTTTTTTTTTTTTTTTTTCTTAAATGCATTTAAATAGAATGGAATGGAAAATATAACCAACCGGTTGTCATCAAGTTGGTTCTGACCCCGGAGACCCAGGCGGGTCAGAGTTGAACTGTGCTCTGTAGGGCTCTCGATGCCGATTTTTCAGAAGGAGGCCTTTGGGCATTTCCTGTGAGCTGCCTCTGAGCAGCCTTGAACCGCCAGCCTTTGGGTTAGCAGCAGCCATGTTAACCATTTGCACCACTAGGGGCGCCAACAAATGGAAAGTGTAGGTAATATTTCACAGAACCCTTGTCTGAATGGCACAGATGTGTGTATACAATACATTTCTTCAGGCTTCCAGTCTACAGAGCGCCACAGGCAGCTGTTACAGCCCCAGTTTGCGGGTGGGGAGATTGAGGGCGGGGGGCAGCACGGAGTTCTGGGTGCACACCGAGCAGTGGGCAGACAGCAGGCGCACAGGTGATGCTGGTGGCTGTTGGTGCCGAGAGGCAGGTGGGTGGCTCCAGGAATAACCATGGTGAACACTCCTCCCCTCTCGAACCCCAGGCCTCACTGACTCCTGTGAAGTCGGGCGACCACAAGGATGAGGACCGGCCCAAGCCCAAGGACCGTATCGCCTCATGCCTGCTGGAGTCGTGGGGCAAGGGCGAGGGCCTGGGCTATGAGGGCTTGGGCCTGGGCATCGGGCTGCGCGGGGCCATTCGCCTACCCTCCTTCAAAGTCAAGAGGAAGGAGCCGCCGGACACAGCCTCGTCCGGTGACCAGAAGCGGCTACGGCCCTCAACCTCCGTGGATGAGGAGGACGAAGGTTTGTACCCTGACCCCTCACAGGGGGCTGGGCCCGCTCCCATCCCCCAGCTCGGCTCTGACTCCATTTCTACTCCGCAGAGCTGGAGCGGGACCGGGACATAGCAGATGCCCCCTGTGAGCTCGCCAAGAGGGACTCCAAGGGCGTGAGTGTGCGGCGGCGGCCGGCACGGCCCCTGGAGCTGGACAGTGGTGGGGAGGAGGACGAGAAGGAGTCACTGTCTGTGTCCTCGGCGTCCTCGGCGTCCTCGTCCTCCGGGTCCTCCACGACCTCCCCCTCATCTTCGGCCTCGGACAAGGAGGAGGAGGAGCAGGAAAGCACCGAGGAGGAAGAGGGGGATGTGGACGAGGAGGAGGAGGAGGAAGAGGAGGAAGAAGAGGAAGGCCCCAGGAGCCGGATCTCCTCTCCCTCGACCTCATCCACATCAGAGAAAGTATGTGTGCGGTGGGGAAGGCCTTGGGCACCTGAGGGACCAGGTGAAGGGGCTCACCTGTCCCCACCCATCCCTCTTCCCCAGGATGACGACGATGACAGTGACAGTGACGACCGGGAAGAGTCTGCGAATGATGAAGACACGGCCCGGTCGCAGGCGAGTGAGAAGGAAGAGCCGGACTCAGATGGAGGTGAGCGGGGTAGCAGCTTCTGGCCTGGCTACGAGACGTGAACTCATTCTTGGGTGCACACGTTCACACGCATGTACACACATAAGTACACATGCACGCATGTGTGCACCCATGTGCACGCATGCACTCTCTCACGTGCATGTGCGCGTGCACACACACACGGGACTTTGAGTGAAGCATTTGGTGTGGGTTTGGGGAACAGCACATAGTGAAGTTAACCTGCGTCTGTCCCCACCCAGAGGAGACAGTGAGCATCGCCACCTCCAAGGCTGACGCAGAGTCGTCCAGCGAGAGTTCCGAGTCTTCTGGATTTGAGTCGAGCTCCGAGTCCTTGTCCTCGTCCTCGGAGGATGAAGAGGAGCTGGCGGTGGGGGTGGAGGAGGAGGAGGAGGAGGAGGAGAAGGCAGTAGAGGAGAGCACAGCCCCTCCTGTCTCCGAGCACTTGGAAGAGGACGTGGAAGAGGCGTCAGTGCCCATGGGGACACCTGCGGGGGAGTCCTTGGGCCCAGAAGAAGAGGTGGACATTGAGGTGGAGGGCAAAGCCCCCGAGGCGCCAGCCCCCATGCTGGAGGAGCCCCCTTTGTCTGTGGGTGTCGAGGGGCAGCTGGTGGGTTGCAGGGAGCCCCCTGAAGAGTCTGACCTGCACCAGGAAGGGGCCATGTTGCTGTCTGCAGAGCCCGCCTCCGAGGAGAGAGAGGCTCAACCTCCGTCATGCCCCACGCACACCCCAGGTAACCCCCACGGCTCCCTGGGAGGGCGGCAGGATGCCTTCACCATCAGGGTGAGCTCCGGCTCCCTTGGGTAAATTGCTTCACCGTCCCAAGCACGGGTTCCCCAACTGTAAAGTGGGGCTGTTCAGACCAAGGAACAGAGTGAAATGAGGTAAAATGTACTATGTGCCTGGGATGTGCTAGAAGAACATTGAAAGAGAATGGGGTGTCACCATTCCTTCCATGCCGCTGTTACCCCAGGTTTGATCCTTGGGCCATCGATCCCACAAGGTGCAGCCAACAGAAAGGGTGGGTGTCGAGGTCATCGTCGGGACAGAGACACTGCACCCGTCACCATCTTGCTAGGACACTGGTGGAGCATCACAAAGCATGTCAAGGGCTCCAGGGGGGCTGTCCGGTAGAACTTTCTGCAGTGATGGGAAAGTTCCGTGTCTGCACGATCTGAGGTGGTCCGCATGAGCCACACGCAAAACGTGGCTAGTGCAACCAAGGACCTGGATTCTAATTGACTTAAGCTTAAAAAGCCACACGGGGCTAGTGCATACCTCTAATGGGTCCTTCAGATGAACCTATTGTATTTCATCCAGTTCTGTGTTACTTGGTCAGGGAACTGCGGGCCTTTGAATGTTGACTCCAGCGTTTATTTGCACCTCTTGTGTCCTGGGACTGATATGGGCACTGACAACATGGTGGTATACCAGACAGACAAAACCACCTGTGCCAGCCCCCCACACACACACCAGGGCTAGCATTCTAGGGCTGGTGACAGGCAGCAGCATGTCAGCATTGGAAGAAAAGCTTTAAAAACTCTTGACAAGTCCTGCAGGAAAGACACCTGCTGCATTTTATCTGCCCATAGAACTCATTTTTCTTAGACCGCCTGTCCCCAGCCATGGCAAGGCTCTCTGAGGAGCAGTTTCAGAGGCTGGCATCCATTCCTTCTTGGTCTTTGGTATATTCCACTGGCATTTATGAAGCCCCCACTGTGTGCCTGACACTGGACTGGTGTCAGGTAGTCCTCCTGTGGCTTAGGGATGGTCCCTACACCCACAGAACATGGAGGGCTCAGAGGGATGGCAGCGGGTTGGCGGTTGGCACATAGTAGGGCAGCTGATGGTAGGCCCTGACAGATGTTTGAATCCATTCAGTGACGTCTGGCTTTCTCTCCCGTCTCTGCAGGGGATGACCTGGAGGCAGAGCCCGAGCCCGCTACAGTGCTGTCCTTGGCCCCACAGCCACCATTGCCGCCCCCCCGGCCACCCCGACCACCCAGCCCACCGCCGGAGCCTAAGGCCCCAGAGCCCCCACACCCGTCCGTCCCTCTGGAGGCCGCCCCCGAGGAGCAGCCCCCGCGTACCCCAGGCCTCTGTGGCAGCCTGACCAAGTCGCAGAGCACAGAGGCAGTGCCGGCCACGCCAGGCAGGGAGCCCCCGTTGTCGGGCGGCAGCAGCAACCTGTCCCTGAGCTCCCCTCAGGTGCCCGGCAGCCCCTTCTCCTACCCGACCCCATCCCCCAGCCTGAGCAGCGGGGGCCTCCCGCGGACTCCAGGCCGGGACTTCAGCTTCACGCCCACCTTCCCCGAGTCCGGCGGGCCCCTGCTCCTGCCCGTCTGCCCTCTCCCAGCTGGTCAGCGTGACGAGAGGTCTGGGCCCCTGGCCTCCCCGGTGCTGCTGGAGGCGGGCCTGCCGCTGCCCCTGCCCCTGCCCCTGCCCCTGCCCTTGGCATTGCCTGTACCTGTCCTGCGGGCCCAAGCTCGGGCCCCCACCCAGCTACCACCCTTGCTGCCTGCCCCACTGACCCCCTGCCAGCCACCTATCAAGAGGAAGCCGGGCCGGCCCCGGCGGTCCCCGCCGGCAGTGCTCTCCCTGGATGGGCCCTTGGTCCGGCCACCAGGGGCCGCTCTGGGCAGGGACCTTCTGCTCCTGCCGGGCCAGCCACAGACCCCAGTCTTTTCCAGCACCCACGACCCCCGGGCCGTGACCCTGGACTTCCGGAACGCAGGGATCCCAGCGCCCCCACCGCCCCTGCCCCCTCAGCCCCCACCGCCCCCACCCCCACCGCCTGTCGAGCCCACCAAGCTGCCCTTTAAGGAGCTTGAGAACCAGTGGCCCTCGGAAGCCATACCCCCAGGCTCCCGTGGACGTGACGAGGCCGCCGAAGAGGATGTAGAACTGGCCAAGGCGCGGGGACCGTGGCGCCGGCCACCCAAGAAGCGCCACGAGGACCTGGTGGTGGGCGCGGCCTCACCCGAGCTCTCGCCGCCGCAGCCCCTCTTCCGGCCCCGGTCAGAGTTCGAGGAGATGACCATCCTGTACGACATCTGGAATGGTGGCATCGACGAGGAGGACATCCGCTTCCTGTGTGTCACTTACGAGCGGCTCCTCCAGCAGGACAATGGCATGGACTGGCTCAATGACACGCTGTGGGTCTACCATCCCTATATCCTGCCCAGTGGGTGCAGGGCCGTCCTTGTGCCGCCTGTCCGGGCCCTGTCTCCTGGTCCACAGTGCTCCACGTGGTGGTGACGATGATGGCGAGAGTCATTCTCTCTTCAGCATTTTTTGGGGCGGCCAGGCCTGTCTCACCCCGAGAGCCAGGGTTGTGTGTGCGCTTGTGGGCTGGCATCACTCGCCCCTAATTCAGTCCTCCCACCCGTCCAGTATGGTAGCACCTATTCTCCACCTTTATTTTATATGCAGGGCAACTGAGACTCAGAGAGGTTAAGTGATCTTCCTGAAATCACGCAGCTATTAAGTAGCAGAGCTGGAATTTGAACCCAGGCAAATCTACCTCCACTGACTGGGCTCTTAACCACACTGCTGTCCTGAGGCTTGATTAGTTATTGCCAGGACTGTATGAGAGCTGTAGTTAACCCTTGTTGTGCCGAACGAGCTTCCCGAGCACTTAACTGTGGGTCAGGAATTCTGCCCCGCACCCTAAGCATAGGTAATCATTCGGATAGAGTCATTAGTGCCCCCAACCTACGGATGGGGACTCTGAGGCAGAAAGTGCATAAAAAGCACACCCGGAACCTTTTGGTGGGGCCAGTGGACTTGGCTAGCCTCTGGGTGTGTGTGGGTAGCAGGGCTGGGCCTCCTTCACCTCAAGGTGGGTCTGGTGGTGGGAAGCCAGGCGGGATGGGTCTCACAAGGGACTGGGAGGGACTCTGAGTGTCCGTGTGGCCCTTGACGCATGCCCACCCACCAGCCTCTCTTCAGCCAAGAGGAAGAAGCGAGATGACGGGCTCCGGGAGCACGTGACGGGCTGTGCCCGCAGTGAGGGCTTCTATACCATCGACAAGAAGGACAAGCTCAGATACCTGAACAGTAGCCGGGCCAGCACCGACGAGCCCCCCACAGACACCCAGGTGCCACTCTCGGGCTGGGGGTGGGAGGGGTGTAGAGCCAGAGGGGCAGGGATGTGAGGGTGTGACAGGCCCTTAGGAGCCAAGGGAAGAGCTGACCTTTACGCAGTGGGCTGTGGGGAGCCACGGGGCTGTGGGCTGGGACAGAAGCAGAACCATGTTTCCAAAAGCTTCATTCGTTACTTCTTGCTTTTTTTTTTTTTAATAATTTTTTTTTTGTGTGTTTTTGGTGAAAGTTTACACAGCAAATTAGGTTCCTGTTTGATAATATTCACACAAATTGTTCAGTGACGTTAGTTACGTTTTTCACAACGTCTCAGTTGCATCCTGGTGGTTCTGTTTCCAGCTGTGGTTTCCCTGCCACCCCCACGTTCATTACTTTTCTGAAACAAAAGTTATTTTTTTATTGTTGACAATAGCCGCAGCGAAACGTACACCAATTGAACCATTTCTCCACCTCCGATTAGTGACGCGGCCTCCGTTCTTCAAGTTGTGCGGCGTCCTCGCCCTCCTTTTCTGAGTTGTTCTTTCCGTGAGCGTAACCTCACTGCCCCAAGGTTCCTCTGTAACCTTTCAAGTGCTGCCGTCACTTTGATCCCACGTAGATAGGCCTTAAAAGAGTGCGATGCTCACGGCAAACATCCTTCACTAGTTAAGCTAAACCGTTGTCGGGTTTTAAGACGACGTCGGGATGTTTTTGGTTTAAGGCTTAAAGATGATCTCAGGGCAATAGTTTTAGGGGTTCTTCTAGCCTCCATGGCTCCAGAAAGCGGAGTCCATGAGAATTTGAAATTCCGTTCATTCATTGCTTTTTTTAATTCAGCAAATGTTTGCTGTGCGCCTGCTGTGTGCCAGGCACGGTCCGGGGCGCTGCTCGTGCAGCAGTGAACAAAACCCAGTTGTCTGTCCTCGAGGCCTGAACGTTTCAGTCAGGGACAGGAAATAAGTGAGCAAATAAATACGCAGTTCCAGGTGAAGAAAATGCTATGGAACAAAAAAACTAAAGTAGGAGAAGGGGCTGGGCCTTGGTGAGTCAGGGGTGAGAATCAGCACCAGGCTGGTCAGGGAAGTCCCGCTGGAGCCAGATGAGGTGAGGGAGGGACTTACGGGATCAGGAGGCCACCGAGAGGGACCTTCAATAAGAAGCAAAATGGGAGTGCTCAGAGAGCCCACTCAGTCCTGCAGAGCCCCTGAGGCAGAAGGGCTCAGCAGCCCAGCGAATGACACAAGAGGGAGGGCTGGGGGAGGAGCCAGCTGGGGACAGGTCATCAGCGCCCAGGGGCCTTGCCGTGAGGGTGTGGCTGAGCCAGGCACAGCTCACCCTGGACCTGTGTACACTCAGCAGTCCCCAGAAGGCAATACGCAGCTGCAGTTGTCCATGCCGACCTGAGAGAGAAAAAGTGGCTGCATTTGAAAGATTATTAGGAAGTAGAGTGATCAAGACTGGGGCTGGCTTGGGGGCTGGAGGCTGGCTGCCAAGCCCTCAGGGGGTAGGGAGGTGGCACATTGTTTGGGACACTTTGAGTTCCAGGCTCTGTGAGCACATAGAAAGGTCTGGCTGACAGCTGGATGCACAGGGAGAGAGCTAGGGAAAATGGCTGCGTTGGGATGGAGATGGTGATTAAAGGCTGGGAGAGCATGGGGTCGGGGAAGAGACTGGCCTGGGTGTTCTGAGATTTAAAGGGATGGGGCAGAGGATGAGGGAAGCCAGTCAGAGGCACAAGACTCGACGGGTAGGTCTGAGGGATGTGGGAATACTATGCAACGCTAAAGAATGTAGAATCTGCAAAACACCGCGTAACGTGGATTAACTTGGAGGACATTATGCTGAGCCCAGGGATGGGGGCATACCCCCACCATCTTGCCGCGAAGCAGAGATACTGTCAGAATTTTGAGCTGGGGAAAGGAGAAAGACAGGAAAAGCCACGGGAAAGCTGCATTGTTAATTTAGGACGGGAGGCAGCTGAGCCTGAGTGCAGCTACTGACGGGAGGCAGAGGCAGCGTGGGTGGTGGTACAGGCCAGTGGGCACGGATGACCCAGAGCAAGGGGCTGGGCACTGGGGGTGACAGGGACCCAGGCTGCCAGGATGTGATGGGATCACACAGATAGACCCTGTGGGCCCAGAACAGCTCAGTCCCTCTGTCTTTCTGCCCTTACATCTGTCCCTCTGTCGTGGCAGGGCATGAGCATCCCGGCGCAGCCTCACGCCTCCACGCGGGCAGGCTCAGAGCGGCGGTCGGAGCAGCGCCGCCTCCTGTCCTCCTTCACTGGCAGCTGTGACAGTGACCTGCTCAAGTTCAACCAGCTCAAGGTGAGGCTGGGTCCCCGTGGCCCCCCGGGAGGCCAGGCTGGCAGTGGGACCCGAGACCGGGCTCACCCCTCGTCTCCTTCCAGTTCCGGAAGAAGAAGCTCAAATTCTGTAAGAGCCACATCCATGACTGGGGCCTATTCGCCATGGAACCCATCGCGGCTGATGAGATGGTCATTGAGTACGTGGGCCAGAACATCCGCCAGGTAGGTGCCGGCCCACAGGATGGGGCAGGCATGGGAACAGGGCCAGCCAGGCTGCCACTGATGCCCGTTCCCTGACCAGGTGATCGCCGACATGCGGGAGAAGCGTTACGAGGACGAGGGCATCGGCAGCAGCTACATGTTCAGGGTGGACCACGACACCATCATCGATGCCACCAAGTGCGGCAACTTTGCCCGCTTTATTAACCACAGTTGCAATGTGAGTGCCTGGCCTGGGGCTGCCGGCAGGACCCACGCTCCTCAGGGTGGACTAAGGGTGGCAGGGAGCTCAAGGGACTGAGGCCTCAGGCAAGGAGCCTCTGTTCTCCAGCCCAGGTTTTCTCAACTGTAAAATGGGTGTGATGAGACTTGCTGCCGGGTTAAGGGCTTAGGTGCCAAGAAGTGGGTTGTTAGCCTGGACTAGGGCAGCGTTGTCCAGCAGGTTTTTCTGCAAGGATAGCAGTGCCCCACGTCTGCGCCGGGTGCTGACGTAGCCTCCAGCCGCCTGTGGCCTTGAGCGTTTGCAGTGTGGCTGGGGTGACCGAGCCGCTGAGGTTTGAATTTCAGGTCTCCCTAGAGGTGGAAGCTTGTAGTCGCCCCCTGTGGCTGGAGAGGAGGCAGGCATCGAGAGCAGGATGGTTAGTGCTCTGAGGAAGCACAGCGAGTCGGGCAGGAGCCAGGCCGGCACAGGCGCGAATGCTGCTGACTGGGTCGAGTCTCAGTGTTGCCACCTAATGAGTGACCTCAGGCTAGTACCTGTAAAACGGGGACAGTAGCAGTTCTCCCATGTAGGCTGTTGTGAGCCTTGAGTGGGTTACTGTGAGCAGGCCCTTTGCACGTGCTGACAGATAACACTCAGCACAGCTTAGCATCTGGCACTAGGCCACCATCACCTGGCCCAAAGGGGCCCAGAAAGACTTTCTGTGAAGATGACAGTGCTGAGATCTGAGGGAGGGGAGGGTGAAGCAGTGAGCGAGGCCAAAGGAGATGCCATGTTCAAAGGCCCTGGGGCCGCAAGGAGGGCATTGGCTGGAGTAGAGAGCTCGTGGACTGGGGTGAATGGGTAAGCTGGTGGGTGGGCAGCCAGGCTGCTTCACCTTGTCGGCTGAGGAGAGGATCAAATGAGTTTCTCTAAAAGCTGAGGCAAGTTGCTGAGTGGTAAGTTTTGAGTCATGGGGTGACAGGGTCTGCTGTCCTTTCGGTTGCTAGGTCAGGGATGACTTTTCTTGGGTGAGGGTGGCAGCAGGGGCTGCTCCAACCCAGGTGACCACCAGTGGGGTTTGATGTTGGCTGGTAGGCAAGCAGAGTTTGGGACAAGCGGATAGAACTGAGGGACCCTTCAGAAGTTCGCTGGTTGGTGGTGGGTGGGACGCAACTGATGCTCACCTGGGGCCTGGGTGGGTGATGCTGCCACCCCAGAAGAGAAGTTCTGGGGTCTCGGTGTGACTTCGTGAGTGAGAGCCAGTGGAGAAGCTGCCAAAGGGAGATACCGAGCGGGTGGCTGGACTTCGAGTCTCAGGCAGGGCATGGCGGACGTTTTCAGTCAAGGGCCAGAAAGTAGATATTTCTGGCTTTGTGGAGCCGATGGTCTCTGTGGCGTTTCTTGTCACAACTCTGTAGTTGTAACAAAAGCAGCTTCAGACCATATGTCAGTGAGCCAGCGTGGCTTCCTTCCAATAAAGCTTTATTTAAAAAGACGGGCAGCTGAGAGCTGGAGTTCGCTGACCGTTGGTCCAGAGCTAGGAAGTGAGGCCCAGGCTAGAGATAGGAATATGGGAGTCGTCTTTTTATTTATTGTTTTTTGATTTTTTAAATTTTTATCGTGATCTGGGTGAAAGTTTACAGAGCAAATTCATTTTTCATCCAGCAGTTTCATGACATTGACTGCAGTGCCCCACAGTGTAACTGCTCTCTTCCGCTTCCTCCAACGTGGGGGTCCTTTGCAGTCCTTTGCAGTCTACGTGGCTGTGGAAGCCCTGGAGGGAACTTAGCACTGTTGTCATTATAGTCACCATCCTGTTCAGGCAGATGGGGAAACCAAGGCCTAGAGCAGTGACATGGGCATGAGGTGGTCACATGGCAGGTTGCCCTTTGGGCCTGAGGCCGGTGGTGCAGTAAGTAGCTCATCCCATCTCCCCCTGCTCGCAGCCCAACTGCTATGCCAAGGTGATCACGGTGGAGTCCCAAAAGAAGATTGTCATCTACTCGAAGCAGCACATCAGTGTCAACGAGGAGATCACCTACGACTACAAATTCCCCATCGAAGACGTCAAGATCCCCTGCCTCTGTGGCTCCGAGAACTGCCGGGGAACCCTCAACTAGGCCCCGGCCGGTGCCAAACACGAAGGATGTCAGCCGCCCTTGGGGCCCCACGCAAGAACCTCGGGCCCGGCCCACCGCCCGCCCCATTTCAGGTGCTGTCCCTCCCCAAGCGGCCGCGCCAGGGCCCGGCGCCCCCAACACTACCCCAGGACCCCCGCAGCTCCTGCCCCCACAGCGGGAAAGGGCTTCTCTGTCTTGCCCTCCGTCTGAGTCACCTTGGTTTTCAGACGAGCTCCTCGCGGGGTTTGCGTTTGACTCCCACATCATCGTCCTGTGTCTGTCTCTCTGTCCCCTCCCCTCTCTGTCCGTCTCCTTGTCTCTTCTCTTCCCGGTCTTCATCCTCAGCCCCTTCCCGTGAATGCTGCTACCTGGTTTTGTCTTCTCCTAGTTTTCTTCTTCATCATAAGAAAAGACTTTGTAACCGTGGAAATGTGAAGGCAGAGTCAGGGGGGGACCCTGGCAGGGTGGCCTGGCCAGGTGCTGAGGGGAGAGAGGGGGTCGAGGAGTCTGAGAGCAGCTTCGACCTCAGAACACTACGTGCCTGAAAGGCCCCACTTGGCCCCAGAATTGGTGGGAGAGGACCCCACACCTTCCCTGGACCCCTCTGCGGCCTGTTCCTTCCCCAGCAGCCTGGGGGCGCCACTTCTCCGAGCAGACCCTGGGCAGCCAGGCTGGTCCCAGGCAGGAGTTGCCTTTCCAGGCTCTCCCTACCACCCCACTCCCCACCCCCACCCCAAAAACCTTGGGTTCAATGTTTACTTTCTCATTCTAATGCCAGCAATGACGGATCTCTCCAGAGGCCCCAGCAGGGGTGAGAGGCACCCCAAGGGTGAGGTCTTGGTTCTTCCTGCCTTTGCCTTCACCCGGGCGTGAGGAGGGGCTCCCAGGGCAGGGGGTGCCCAGCCCTGCCATTACGGGTTGTCTGACCGCACGCGTGTGGCATTTTTTTTTTTTTTTTTTTTTCCGTTTTATAAGCTTCACCCTCTTACTCCCGCCCACACCCCACTTCACCCCGCCAGCAGCCCCTCACCCCAAGAAGGCCAGCGGGTATTTATTTTTGGAGTGTGCAGGTTGTTTCTCCTAGAGAAAGGAAAAATCTGGAAAAGATTTTAAAACAGAAATCTCTCAGTTTTCTTTTTGTCAACCCTTCTTACCCTCCCAGCCCTGACGCCCATCCTCTTCAGGGTTTATTTCTGAGGGTTGGTTTTTTTTTTTTTCCTCCTCCTTCTTCTTCTCTTGCGTGTATGAAATCAAAACGAAGGGAAAAAATGGGTTCTCGAAGTTCAGAACCAACTTCTGTGTACAGGCCGCCACAAAGGACTCTTTCTCGGGAACATTGTTTCTTGTGGAAACATGTGGGAAAATGTTTTTGCTCCTTTCTTTGTATGTACTTCCAAAAACCACACAACGCACACGCGCACACACACACAGAGGCAAGTCCCCACACCCCCAGAGAGCAGAGCAGGCGTGTAAATAAAATGTATGGAAAGGGACTGTCGTGACCAGGAGTCGTCCTCACCCAGATGAGAGAGCTCCGCGTGGGAGCCGCCGCCACAGCGACGCGGCAGCAGGAGCCTCGGTATCTCGGCTTGTGTCAAGCTTGTTATCATGTAAATTCTGTACAAAGAATTGTTATTTTTCTCTTTTTTTTTGTCGTTGGTGTTTTCCTTTTTTTTTTTTTTAATTTCTTCACCCCACGGCCTCTGTGTTGGGGACTGTGTCCACCGGTTTCGCGGTCGAAGAAATCAGTGGCGTTTCAGACACAGAGCGGGTACCTGGGCGCAGCAGCGACCTTCTCTTCCGTGTGCGGTTTTCTGCCTAATTGTGCAACAGAGGAAATATTTATTTTTCACACGAGGAAACGTGTAGGTTGCGGAGACGGCGGATTTAAGTTATTTGTGCGGCCCCCAAGGGGCTGTCTCATAATGTCACCTCCACCACCACCCCCGAAAAGAAGAAAGAACGGGAGGGGAGGCTGTGAGGAAACCCGCGGCCTCAGCCTGCCCAGCCTCGGGCTCTTGGTTAACCTTGGCCGGACTGTGCTAAGGGCCAGCAGGGGCCCGCCCTCTCCCCAGGAGCCCCCTACCCCACACCCCGAAAATGGTTTGCAATAATTCAGAAACGTGTTGACTCATTTTTCTTTCAATCTCTTTGTTTTCATTGAACAAATCTCTGCTTTTGAAGAGTTGGGGTTTCTGCTTTTCCTCCTTTTTTTTTTTTTCCTTCTGTCTTGCGCCTCCCCTCCCCACAAAGAAGAGAACGATAAGGTTTAGGGATGTTTGTCCGTCTAGACTCTGTCTCCCGTTTGTAACTGGTTTTGGAGAGAAGTGTTTCTGTTGTGGGTGTGTCTTGCTGTAAATATTTGTTCATATTTTTGTGAATTCAATACTATGTACCATTGTATTATAGTAACTTTTATAAAGCAAACCATAAATATACTGACTTTTCTTACAGACACGCCGTCTCTCTTGCTCGCCTCTCCCCTCTTTCTTATTCTCTCTCTCTGCTGGGGGTGGGGAGTATACCCTTTTGTACGAAGGGAGGGGTAGCTAGCGGGGCTCAAAGGGGGGAAAAGTGTGTGCTGTGTCCCCTCAGACCAGCCGTTCTTAAACCCTGCACCTGAAGGTCATTCTGAACTGGGCTGAGTTGTGGCCAAACCAGGCCTTGTGCACCTTTTAAGTTTTCCTGCTAGAATTTTTCTTAAAACCATAGGTGTTCCATACTGCTAAAGGTCTGCAAGAGAGAAACAACATCACGTGCCCGGATGCTGTTGCCAGAAGAACATGGAACGGTGATTTCTCACAACGTGTCATAGGGAAAGAGACACCCCGCTGGTCTGCGTTTGGGGTGGGAGGGGCTGCTGAAACAGTCGCAAGTTGAGAAGAATTAGATGTAAGCAGCGTTTGTGATAGTCGAGAGGGGGTGGACCCTGGCAGGTCCCATTCTGCCTGATGAGGCTAAGGGCTGGGGCCCAGAGTGTCCACTGGATCTTCCAGAAGGACAGACTCAAAACACCTGAGCAAAAAGCCACACAGCAGAAAATGCTGCGCCGTATTTCTTAGTAAAGCAGCACCGATTACCGCGGTATCTTTTCCCCCAGTCAAGTTGGCACATGTTAACAGCCCTCAGATGGGCTCCCGACTCTTCCTCTCCCCTCTCCTCAGCCCTGAGTCTGATCCTTCCTCCCTCCTCAGACCCATCTACTGCTCCCTCAGTCACACAGGAAATGCCCTTTCTTTATCGTTTCTGCTGTGAGGGCCAAAGGAAGCCCCGAGTCCAGGCCTGCATGCCCAGAGCATATTTCTGGGTATGGGGCGTGAGGTGCTAGGCCCTGAGCAGCCTTGGGCAAGAGCCGCTCACCCAAGCCCTTCTCCAAAAATACTAGGTGTGACATTTATGGCACAGACCTTGTGCCAGTCATATTTGAAACATCTTTGACATTAAGTCACAGCAGCACTAGGAGGTGAGTAGTAGGATCCCTATTGTACAGATGAGTTTGCCTAAGGTCACACAGCTGGCAGGGGGCTCACCTGGGGTGTGCACCCAGCCAGGCTGGCTCCCTAGGCTGTGTTCAGCTAATAGGGGTTCTGTTCTGACCACAGCCAGGCACCTGAACAGACGCCCGTTCTCTTTTCATTTCTGAAACTCATGGTTCCTGAAGCCCCAACTCTGACAGCCAGAAAAGTTCCCTATAATCCCATAGGACCAACTCAGATTTTTGTCCTCACACTGCTGTCCGCCTGCTCTAGTTCCAAGTTTTCTCATCCTCGAGGAGAGAGCCTCAAGAATGAGAAATGGAAACGAGGCTTAACTTGCCCCCACCTCCTCTTTCCAATGGTTTTAGGACCAGCAGCTCTTTCCCGCTGCTTTTCTGCTTCATTCTGCGAGAGTCATTAACTCTTAAGTAGACATGCTCGTTGGAATCAAGGCTGGTGGGAGCGGAGCTCGGTGTGTGTGTGTTGGGGGGGGCATGAGTGACTGTCTTGCCGAGGGTGGGGGGCAGAAGCTGGGGGGGGCTGATTCTCTGTCTGCTCTGTTACCTTCACCTCGGACCACACCATCATCACATCACCCTGCTTCATTTTATTAATACCAATTCCCACTATGAGAAACTATATTATCTGCCTTTCCTTGTAGAGCGTAAGCCCCCTGAGCGCTCTGATTTCAGTTCCCTATCTGGCCCAGTCGTACTGGGCAAAGCGCTTTCATCCCGCAGCTTTCCTGCAGCGCTCCCCCTAGCGGTTAGAGGGCATCACTGCTCCGTTTCGGGCACAAACACCAAACCCGTGGCCGTCCACTCCATTCCGACTCAGGAACTCTATAGGATAGAGTAGAACTGCCCCATAGGGTGCACAAAACACCAGGCGCGCTTTATTTGGGAGGGCGAGTACGATCTGGTCAAGGGGTCATGGCCACAAGGTAGGCGGAGCCTGCGGCTGGTGGGCGGGGTCAAAAGGTCGCGGCTTATGGGATGGGCGTGTTCCAAGGACGGGGCGGGGTGCCGGAAGGGGCGGGGCCCAGGCGGGTAGGTCAGGTTAGCGGCGTCTACATGCCGGGCGCGAACCCGTTGGTCTCGAGGTCCGTGAGGTTTCCCCGCAGGTTCTGCTCCTCTTCGAAGGCCTTGAACAGTGAGTTGAAGTTGCCGGCCCCGAAACCCTGGAACAGCAGAGCGGAGGTGAGCTGTGTGCTGAAAGAGCTGGACACGTCTCCTGCATGCCCCCTTGGGGACCGGCTGTACCTGGTGGTTGTTGCGCTGGATGACCTCCAGGAAGAGGGTGGGCCTGTCCTGCACCGGCTTGGAGAAGATCTGCAGCAGGTAACCCTTCTCGTCGTAGTCCACCAGGATTTTCAGCTCCTAGGTGGGAGACAAGGTGGGGGGCTAAGCGGAGGGGTGGCTTGCCCACTGGCTTGGCATGTTAGGGCCCTTGGAAAGCCCAGAGGGGCTCCTGCACCCCTAAGACTGGTTGCCATTGAGTCATCTCTGACTCATGGCGGCGCCGTGTGTGTTAGAGAAGAATTGTACTCCGTAGGGTTTTTCAGTGGCCCTATTTTCACATGTAGATCTCCAGTTCTTTATTACGAGGTTCCTATCAGTAGACTCGAACCTAGTACCTTTTGGTTAGCAGCCAAGCACATTAATTGTTTGTACCACCCAGGGACTCCTGGTAACCCTCAAAGCCAAGAAAAGACACCTTTCTCCGTCTGCTCCAGACCCTCCAAATTCATCCCAAATTGTCCTGTTACCACCTCATTTCTGTCTAAGCCACCAGCACCCTGGACCACCTCAATGCCTCCTCGCAGGGCTCCCTGCTTCTGCCCTTGGCTCCTTCCAGTCCATCCTAGCCATGGATGTCAGAGGGAGTTTTAAGTATCGATCACGTCACTCCCGTTTAAAGTCTTCCAGTGGAAATTTGAACTCTCATTTCTTATTTGTGGGAATGTGAAATGGTGCAGCTGCTTTACAAAGCAGTCTAGCAGTTCCTCAAATGATTAAACATAGAATTACCGTATCATCTAGTCATTCCACTCCAAGATATGTATACCCAAGAGAAGTGAAAACATACGTGCACGCAAAAACTTGTACGCAAGTGTTCACAGTAGCATCATTCGTAATAAACAAAATGTGGAAACAACCCAGATGTCTATGAGTTGATGAGTGGATAAAGGAACTGTAGTACATCCATACAGTGGAATATTATTCAGCCTTAAACAAGAATGAAGTCGTGACCGTGCTACAACATGAATGAACCTTGAAAACATGCTGAGTGAAAGAGCCAGGCATATATTGAATGACTCTATTTCTATGAAATATCCAGATTAGGGAGAAGGAGCTCTGGTAGCATAGTGCCTAAGGCACTTGACTGCTAACCAGAAGGCTGGCGGTTCAAACCCACCAGCCACTCCTCGGAAGGAAGGTTGGGCAATCCTACTTCCATAGTGATACTGCCTCGGAAACCCAAGGAGGGGTCGCTATGAGTCGGGGTCGACTCGACAGCAAATAACAACAACAACAACAATAGAGATAGAAGATAGATTAGTGGTTGTCAGGGACTGGGAGGGTACCGTGGGGTGCTGGGGGATAATGGCTTAGGGATGCAGCATTTCTTTTGGGGTGATGAAAGTGTTCTAAAATTGATTGTGGTGATGAGTACACAACTTTATGTACTAAGAGCCATTGAAGTGTGCACTTTAAAAGAGTCAGTTATCTGCATGAGAATTACAATTCAAAAAAGAGGTTAAAAACAGAACTAAAAAAAAAAAACCAAAAACCACCTCTATTAGCTTTTGGCCACAGAAGAACAAAATCCAAAACCCTAAATAGCCTCCGGGAGGCAACGGCCTCTCCCTTCCTCTGTGACCTGGGTGACTCCTCAGACACTGCGTGTCATCCATTCTGGGCTTCTTCCTGTTCTCTGCACAGCAGGAGCTTCTTCCTGCCTCAGGACCTTTGCACTGGCTGTTCCCTCTCCCAGCCCTTCACACAGCTGGCTCCCTCCCATCATCTAGTTGTTATTGTTGTTATTTGCCGTCGAGTCGGCCCTGACTCATAGCGACCCCTCCTTGGGTTTCCAAGGCAGTATCACTACGGAAGTAGGATTGCCCAACCTTCCTTCCGAGCCATCATCTAGATTTCACCTAACTGTCACCTCCTCAGAGTCTTCCTGCCCCAAGGCACTCTTCATCGCCTGTGTCTACCAGCACTGTCATTTGCTCCCTACTTACAGGTGGGCCCTTACTTACAGTGTGATATTTGAGTTACGGTGGACTGCGCTTACAACTGTCCAGTATTTTGTTTATGATTTGTGTATTTTTTAATATATGCATTAGCTCTGGTAGTGTAGGCACTAAGGCACTTGACTGCTAACCAGAAGGCTGGTGGTTCAAACCCACCAGCCACTCCTCGGAGGGAAGGTTGGGCAATCCTACTTCTGTAGTGATACTGCCTTGGAAACCCAAGGAGGGGTCGCTATGAGTCGGGGCTGACTCGATGGCACATAATAACAACAACAAGCTTATATGTAGTGTTTCCAACCCCCAAAGGCAAATAAAGATCACAGTTGTAAAGACAGTGATAATAAAAGGCAGTTGTAATGAAAACTAAAAAGAGGTATTCAAGTTATGTCAATACCAACTTATGACAGAGCGGAGCCTGTCATAACTCGGGGGCTACCAGTATTTCCTTGTCATCTGCCTTCCCTGCACCTGCAGTGCCAGTCCCCTGTCTGCAGGGACTTTGTCTGGTTTTCCCCGGTGGCCCTGGGCCTGACGCGGGCCGGGCTTGCTCAGTGTCTGTGATTGTGGTGATGAGTACACGACTTTATGGACTAAGAACCATCGAAGTGTCCACTTTAAAAGAGTCAGTTATCTGCTGTGAGAATTACAACTCAAGAAAGATGTTAAAAACAGAACTAAAGAAAAAAAGAAGACAACCCTCTATTAGCTGTCGGTGCTGGATGGCACTCAGGGCCCCCCCCCGCCCCCCGTGTCGGGCTCTGGCCGCCTGCCCTGCTCCGCGGCCGGCTCCTAGGGCTGCCGCCGTGGGCTCACCTCCAGGACGTCAATGCTCTCCTTCACCCGGACCTTGGCTGACTTGAGCCTCTCTCGTAGTTGTTTGTAGTACGTGGATGGGACAGCCAAGAACTCCATGCCTCGCTCTTTCAGGTGGCGAATCTGTCTCAGAGCAGAGCTGACATCAGCCACTTTCCCTGCCTGCTCAACACCCCAGCCCCTGGGGCTGGGCGCTACCTGAACTCCCTGCACCTGCAACCCTCAGGGTGTGCAGTGTGACCCTGGCCTCATGCCCGTCCCCCCGAGGCCTCCTGGGTCCTGTTCGGAGAGTACAGTGCTTCTCTGGGATGCTCACTGTGTCTTGGGCCCTTCCTGTGTGTTGCCTTGTAGTGGCCACGTGGTCATCTTCTGAGGCTGCTGCTGTTATTATCCCCAGTTTATAGCTGGGAAAACTAAGGCAGTGAGAAGTCAAGTATCCCTTCTCAACCTGACAGCCACCGCGAGCTTACTAAAATCTGTGTCACACTGTGCCCCTCTGTGTACCCTGCAGGCCTGTCGTGTCTCAGAATAGAATTCCAAGTCTTCCTCGGGGCCTTCACCGTCTGTCTCTGTCCTTCTGACCTCATCTCCCAGCTCTGTCTCCCTTGCTCATTCTGCTCCAGCCACGGTGATCTTGCTGTTCTTGAACCTCCCAGGCACACTCCCAGCTCAGGCTTTGACCTTGCCCTTCCCTGGGCCTGGCCCAGGCAGCCTGGGGTACAGTTGCCCCAGATTCCACACACTCTGCCTTTGCCTTTCTTCAGTTCTTTGCATTTGCAAATGCCTCCTGCATGAGGCCTTCCCTGACCACCCTGCTTAAATTTGCACCGCCCTGTTAGGTGCCATTGAGTTGATTCTGACTCAGCCACCCAGTGGGACAGAGTAGAACTGCCCTGTAGGGTTTCCTAGGCTGTAACCTGTTTGGGAGCAGGTTGCCAGGTCTTTTCACCTGCAGAGCCACTGGGTGGGTTCGAACCTCTGACCTTTCAGTTAGCAGCCCAGCCCTTAACCATTCTGCCACCTGGGCTCCTTTGCAGTGCCCTACCTGTTTGCTGTCCTACTTCCCTGATTTATTTTTCAGCACTCACTGCCATCTAGTACATCATATATTTTACTTATTTTGTTTTCTATCCCCATTGGGGCAGAAACAATCGTCTGGTTTGCTGATGTATCCCAAGTGCCTAAAACAGTGCCTGGAACATAGTAGGTGCTCAGTAAACATCTGCTGAATGAATGGATGAATGAATGGAATTTGTGGTAAGGCCAGGATATGGAGGGGACGGGGTGAAGCCTTCATGCAGTTTCCTTCCTGTGCACTGTGTCATACTGCTGTATGGGAAGAGGTGGGTCCTGGCCCCCCCAAGGGCTACAGCCACAGACTCAGGACACTTAATTTGGTTGGAAGGACCTAACTTGGCTGTAGTCTAATAAACCTCATTTTCAAGGTGAGGCAGCTGAAGCTCAGAGAGTGAGTTGAATCCCCCAGAGACACACAGCAAGTCTCGGGCAGAACTAGGACCAGAATCCACACCTCTTGATTCTCTGGGACCTGCTACATCTAAAGCTGAGAGTGTGCTGCGCAGGGACTGGGCCTTCGGGGCTGGAGTGCCTGGGCAGGGGCTTCAGGGACCCAGAAGGGAGTTCTGCCCTCTCCCTACATATGCAGGCACTGCCCCTGGAGCTGCATGAGACATGGATTAGGACCAGGAGTGGGGTTCTCACCGCCGTGATGATGTCTTGGGTCCTGAGAGCGATGTGCTGGACTCCAGCACCCCCGTTATAGTCTACGTATTCCTGGGGGGTGGGAATCAAGGACATCAGTGTCATTTGTGTTGTCACCCACCCCCCTGCCGCTGCAGGAAGCCCCAGCTCCCCACCCCCACTCTCATCCCCCAGGATGGACCCACTGGACCCACCTGGATCTGGGACTTCTTCTTGCCAGGCGCCGGCTCGTTGATGGGCATCTTGATGGACTCCTCGTAATTGGCCACCACAATGGAGCGCAGAGAACTGTATTCGGTGTGCACCTGCGTGTCGTCCACGGACCAGAAACGGTGGAACTGGAGGTTCTTCAGGTACCTGCGAGAGGCCAAGGGGCACACCTGTCTGAGCTCCAGCTTCCCCGCCCCGATTTCCACCTTCCAGAATTCACCACCAGGCTCTAAACGGGAAACGTCATTTCCGTCACCGACACCCGGATTAGATCTTTCATCTTTCCTTCAGTGTGGAGCGTGGTAGTTCTCCAGCAGAGGGAGGAAGGCGCCTGACGAAGGGGCACTCGTTTCGGGTCTGCACCCAGGTGCTGTTTGGGTGGTGACTCTCTCGCTCCAAGCCCCTGCAGACACCCCACCCTACGTCCCCAGTCTTTCTGACGGAGACCTGTGTGTCACTTTGGGCCTTAGGTCCACATCCCCTTGTCCTCTCTTTTCCACATTGGTGTCCAGAGACAAGAACTGGAGAGTGGGCCGGCCCCTGTGGGGCCCTGCCACTTTTAGGGGCGGGGTTTGGCCAGGGGCTTACCACTCGGAGGCAGACACCATCTCCTGGTCCGGCTGGTTCCCCACAATGTGGTCGATATTCTCAAGATTGCATTTGGGCCTGCGGGGAAGGAAAGAGAGTGGGGCTGGAAGGAGAAGACTACCCCCAGGCCCCTCCCTTTCCAGTGACACCCCAACAATAATCCTAGCTCACGCTTCGTCCTCTTGTTGTAGACCAGGCACCTTTTATGTGTGAGCTCAGTGAGTCACCACCATGATCATAGGAGGGAGATGCTATGTTATCCCCACTTTACAGATAAAGAAAGTGAGGCACAGATGATGAAACCCTGAGACTGTGGCCCCTAGCTGCCCTTCAGGTCTGGAATTGAACCCACGTCCATGGCTTCCAGCCAAACAAGAGACAGGCATATGAGCTGAACATTTACATTAGGTAGATACACTCCTTGGAGAGAACAATCATGGGAGAAAGAAGGGCTGTGTATGCACAGGGAGACAGCTCAGGGGGCAGGAGTGCATGGAGGGAAGGACACAGGGAAGAGGTAACTGGGAAGGAAGGGGGAGGGGAGCTGTTGCATTGTGGGAAATTGTAGTCAGTGTCCTGAGAGAGTGTACGTGAGCTGCTGTATGGAAAGTGAATTTGCTCTGTAAACTTTCACCCAAACCACAATAAATAAATAAAAAGAAACTGAGGCACGGAGACATTAAACGACTTGCCCGAGGGTGAATGGCTGTGAAAGGGTAGGCTGGGATTTGAACCAGGCAGTCTGGTTCCAGAGTCTATGCTCTTAGCCTCGATGGCTTCTCTCCAGGCCCGGTGGGGCTCTCAGGGTCCCCTAGCAGGCTCCCAGGTGCTCTGCCCCATCATCACCTTGAGGACAGGGGACATTGCTTTCCACCCCACCTCAAGGTCAGTTCCCCCACTGCTGGCCCAAGTGGTACTCACAGCTTGGAAAGTAGGGGGTCCACGAATCTGGGGGCCTCATATCCAGGCAGGAAGCGGCCAGTGTAGTTCATCTTTTCCACCATGGTGTGTGTGGTGTCCCCATACTGTGGGTGGGAGAAGGGCCTAGCTCGGCTGTGAGTTCCCTTCCCCACTGAGACCATGTCCATCTCCCGGAGCCCACACAGCCCTGGGTCTAATCCTACCTCCGTATATGACCTTGGGCAAGTCATTTCCCCTTACTGACAGGATTGTAATTTCTCGTTGATTTGGGGGCTGCTTTGAGAGCCTCCCTCACTCCCAGACCTGACGCTCATGAGGGCAGGGACGCTGCTTTGCTCACTGTGGTAGCCCTAGTGCCGGGCACGGTGCCTGGCATCTAGTAGCTGCTCAATAAAGATGTGTTGACTGAAGGGAGAGTGAATGAAATCATTGAACCAAATGGTGTTGCAGGGCTCTTGCAAGCTTTTTAATAGACTTGCAGTTTGACTTAATCTTAGGAAGCTAGCTCTTGTCATTGTCTCTTTTGTACAGTCACACAGGTGCTAAAAAGAATGGGGAGATGTGCTGAGTGTCTAGGTATGCCAGGCACTGTTGTTCTAGGTGCTGTATCCAGATTAGCCCCCTGACCCTCACCACAACCCCATGAGGGCTTATCGATGAAGAAACTGAGGCACACAAAGGCCAAGCAGGTGGTTGGGCTTGAGTCTTGGCTCATTTAAATGAAGTCACAGAGAGGTGTAGTGATTTGCCCAAAGTCACACAGCTGGTGAGGGGTGTGGCTCTCGGACCCCATCTGCTTAGATGTCCTTTCTTCAAAGCTCGTGCCCACAGTTTACACCCCATCCCATGGCTCTACACTGGGAGGGTGGTGGGGTGGTAGGGGACTGACTGGTGGTTCCCGTCTGCCTCGACGCACAATCAAGCATCGCAGGGGTGAGACTCGGGTGACCGTCTGTGCTTCAGGGCGCCAGGCTGAGATGATGGAGTTAAGTGGGGTGGGGGGTACCAGTATCTCAGGGTGCTGCCAGCAGGAAGGGCGGGGGTACCGATGTCCACTCACCGTCTGTAGCACAGCAAACTTCACCTTCCCATCCTTATCCTGCTCCACCCAGGGCTCCCGCACGATCTTGGCACCCCGTTCCCGGGCTTTCTGCGGAGCAGATGGGGTGGGCCAGCAGTGAGGGCTGGACCATCTTAGTCCTTACGGGCCGTTCTTGCCTGATACCCCTCTGCATGGGCCTGCTGTTGGCCTCCCCCGTTTTCCCAGCCAGACAGGCACCCCCCCCCAGCTTCAGCTGTTGCCCTCCATACCCATGCCTCATGCAGGTGGGACAGCTGAGGCCCAGGCTCAGAGTTAGGGCTATGGGAGACACATCAAGTGGGCATGGGGGGCTCCAGAGGTCTGGGTGTCTGTCCTTCCCTACTAACTCACTTGGTGGCCCTTCCTCTGGCCAGTCCTCAGTTTCCCTACCTGCAAACAGGATACAAGTTGGATACAAGTAATAACTAAACCAAAAAACCAAACTCACTGCCATCAAGTCAGTTCCAACTCATAGCAGCCTCTGCTGGGTTTCTGAGGCTATGAATCTTTATGGAAGTAGATAGCCCCATCTTCCTCTCAGGAAGCAGCTAGTGGGTTTGAACCACTGACCTTCTGGTTAGCAGCCAAATGCCCCTATCCATTATGCCACCAGAGCTCTTTATGAGTAATACTTGTTGTTGTTATATGCCATCAAGTCGAGCCCGACTCATAGCGACCCCTCCTCGGGTTTCCGAGGCAGCATCACTACGGAAGCAGATTGCCATTTAATGAACATCCAGTATCATGTCAGACCCCGTGCCCAGTGCTTTCACATATTTTTGTAGCAAAAGTGCGGTTACCCGTCAGGCCTTGTTCTAGGATGACTTCTTTCATCCTCCCAGCAACATTACACAGAAGGTACTGGCATCGTGTCCATTGTATAGAAGAGGAGATTGAAGCTCAGAGAGGGTAAGTCACTTGCCTAAAGCCACACAGCTAGTAAGATTCAAACCCAAGCAGCCGGGCTATGGAATCTGCTTTGAAGTTCTCTTCTGCCCCTTGAACCCCGTGCCGTGCTCCAGAAATGCTCATTGTGATCTCACTTCCTCTTTATGAGAAGTCGGTGGGTGCTGTGCTGTTACTTCACAGGGGCAGACACTGAGGGTCCTCGGAGGAGGAGCCACGGTTAGTAAGGGATGCAGCATCACAGGCATCATACGTGTGTCACATCAGCATGGGGCGAAGGGACACGGGGGCTCTTGACTTGCCCTCCAGTATGGGCCCCCATAGCCGACAGAGGGCAGGCTGAGCCATCCAGTTTGTCTCCCAGGGTGGAGCCTGGATGGGTGGGTCAGGGCCTCACCTGCACGATGTAGTCACAGTCTTCCACCTCAAATGCAATATCCTTCACTCCGTCACCGTGTTTCACCAGGTGGTCGCCCATCTCTGTGGCCAGCAAAGGGTGAGGGGTACTAGAGTCCGTACCTTTGGGCTGCGTCTCCCTCCAGGCTCGACTTCCCCCGGCAGAGACCCATCCCTGACACCCCAGACCTGTTCCCGACATCCCCGACCCCACGCTCCAGGCCCCCTCACCTTTGTTCCAGGGGTTGAGGGCTGAGGCAAAGACAAACAGGATCTGAGATATTGAGGAGAAGGTGGGTGCAGCTGGTCACTCAGCTGAGCCTGGGGAGCTGTACCCATATCCCTTCCTTCCTGCCCCTAAGACATCCCTAGAAAACCCACTGCCATTGAGCCAATTCCAACGCAAAGCAACCCTATAGGACAGAGTACAAAGCAGCCATCATGTCTTTCTCCCATAGAACCGCTGGTGGGTTCGAACTGCCAACCTTTTGGTTAGCAGCCCAGCATTCAACCACCGTGCCACCAGGGTTCCTGCTGGAGGCAAAAGGACTGTAGGGAGGGTGTTCTGGTCTGATTCGCACATGGGCACTCACAGACCCCAGGGGAGGGCCAGCCTGCCAGACGAGTGGTGAGGCGTCCTGGGGTGGGGCTCACCTTCCCATGTTTGACCACGTGGCTGACCACCTCACGGGAGCCCGTCTCTAGGCCCTTGTAGGCCAGCGGTTCGAAGCCCATCTTGTTGCAGTAGAATGATGCGGCCTGAATCAGAGTTGCAGCCAGGTTCATGAGGGTTGGGGTCTAGTTGGGGCCCCTGGCTGACAGCCTGGACCTACTCAGCCCATCTGCTTTGTTGTTAACCTCAGAGGCCCTTCTGGGAGCAAAGGCTGCCTCCTGGTTCATTCTGGCCTCCTCTGTTCCCTGCTGGGGTCCGTGATCCTGATTGTGTCATGAGAACCCAAAGCATGGCCCTCCCTCCTGGGGCAGTCCCAACGTGGCCCTGACCCTCCCCTTCCAGGGGCCAATCACAGCCCTGGCCAGAGGCCCAACTTGTCCAGGAGGCCCCCTTGCTACCCTCTGCCCACCCAAGCTCTCCAGCCTCTCTACCTGTTTGGCATTGCCGACCCAGAAGGTGACCGAGTGAAAGTGCAGGAAGCGGCCTCTCTCGGGCTGCAGAGGGAGAGGGGGGCGGGCTTGAGTGCAAGTGTGCAGGGAGCACCCCCAACCACCTCCCTGGTCTCAGTCCAAACCCCAGAATTTAGGAGGAGAAATTGAGCTCCTGGGGGTTAGGGAGCCAGAAGTGCCCTCAGGAGGCCTGCCCAGGTACCATAGAAGGAGACAGCTTTGGGCTGCAGCAAGAGTGATTAAAGTTAGACCTCAGAAAGAACTTCCAGACAGGATTAAGACATTGGCAGGCATTTAAGAAGAGGTCAGTATTTTTTAGGAGGGCAAGGTGGATGGAGTCCAGCTCCATCCAAGGGAGGCAGAAACTTGCGTGAGTGTGCGTGGACTTCACACGCCCACTGTCTCTTCCTGGACCCGGGCCTGCCCCAGACCCCACATGCCCCTGTCTCACCTTCACACCTTTGTCGCTGTAGGTCGTCTGAGGAGAAAGGAAAGCACAGTGAGACGTGGAGGCCCAAATGCAGGTGCTCCTGGGGCCTGGCTGCAGATGTACCACCCAGACGCCGGCAGGAACTTACCATGGTGGAGCTCGCTCACCCTTCCTGCTGGGAAGATGGGGACCAGAGAGGTCTGGGGAGGGCTGGATCAAAGTATTTAAGACTGGCAGGTCCCGCCCCCGGCCTCTGGGCCTTCCTGGTGGCCAGGAGCTGTCCCACCCCTCTGATCCAGCTTTGTCAGACCGGAGATGCCAGGCCCAGTGAGGGGAGTGACTTGCGCAGACCACTAGCAAGTAGGGGGCAGAGCCAGGGCTAGAAGCCAAGGGCACATTCTCTGTGTGGACTCTGATCTCTGCCCTCCAGAGTCCACGCTCAGGAGCCAAGGCCAGCTCGAGTGCAGTACTGGCCCCTGGATGCTTGGGAGGTGCTTGAGGGAGGACTGGGGGAGGGTCTGGGAGCCCCGTTTGCACTGTAAGGCATGTGGCTTCTCTTTAGGGTGAAAGGGTTGTTTCCTGCCTTGGCAGGTAGCAGAGGGGCTGGTGCCAGGGAGGAGCCTTCCTCTCCATACCCTGCCAGGACTCCTGCATCCCTCTCAAGTTTCCCTCTCCTCCAGGAAGCCCTCCAAGAACTTTCCAGATCCCAGGTCCAGGGTTCAGCTAGGGCCTGCCATGGTCAGTTTTACCCAGCCAGCCTGCTCAGGGGCAGGGGCAGGGCTGGAGGCAGGGGCAGGGGCAGGAGCAGGGGGGTGAGTTGAATTTTTCCAGGCCCCACAGCAGGTGACGGGGCAGAACTGGAACGTGAACCTACATTCTGACTCCAGAGCCCACACTCTTCACTGTGGTTCTGCTCTCTGTACATGTGGTAGAGACGGCCGTCCCCACCAGCGGGTAAAAAGGCCCAGAGAGCTGAACACACGTCCCCGAGGTTACACAGCCAGCGAGGCCAGAGATTCAAGCTCCGGCTTCTTTGATTCTGAGGGTGGCTCTCATCCTGCCAATCCAGACATCTTCGCCCCTCTTCTGTCTGTTTCCTGGACAAATCTGGAGGCGGGCAAGGCCTCCCACTCCTCGTTCTCCTCCTGGGCCTGCTCTCTGGCCTGTCCCTTGTCCATCTCGGCCTTCCAGGTCTGAGTTTCCAACTGAGAACTGGAGCAGAGGTGGCCTAGAGCGGAGCTCATGGGCCCAGAAGGTTCCGTGGGGGGAGGACGGCTCAGCGCAGCCCCCTCCGCAGGTCAGCAGGAACATCTTGTCCCCGTGTTTGTGACGGCTCACTCACTGCCCCCCCCCCCCAACCTGTCCTGGCTGTGTGTCCTGGCAAGGGCACAGAAGCAAAGTTTACTGACTGGAGGGAGGGGACGGACGGACGGACGTCAGGTGCTGAAGGCTGTGCCAGCAGGGGCCCTGCTTAGCTGGGTGGCAGGGGTGGTGGCTCTGTCCCATCGACCCTCTGGCCTTTGCTTTTAGCAAACACTGTGGGTCTCGGTCATGTCTGGATACGCCTCTAGGGGCCACTCCCATCTGTGGGTAGAGATTGGGGACAGGGAGTGTGCAGGGCCCAGTCTCTGGAGTCCGTGTCCCCTCCCGGACACTCCCTGCCCAGGCTGGGCTCCGTTAGATAAGAGGCCAGCACTGCACCCCCCACTGGATGACAGGTTTTAGAAACAGATTGCCAGGTCTTTCTTCTGACTTACCCCCCCAGCCTTGCAGCCAGCAGCCGAGCACATTAGCTCTTTCCAGCACCTAAGGAGCACAAAGGGTGGTGGTGTGGCCGCCAGGTGGCCTCTGACTCATGGCGACCTTGTGTGCAGAGTAAAACTCTGTGCGATTAAAAAAGAAAATTACTGTTGTGGAAATACACAGCAAAAACACACCAAGTCCAGTTTCTACACGTACAATTCCTGTGTATTCCATCTGGCAAGACCCACATGCATGGCTGCCATTTATGTTGAGAAAGGCCTTCCTAGGAAGCAAGTCGTTGTTCTGCAGAATTCTATCCTGGTTGCCCGAGACATTTCTATCACCAAGGCTGTGTTTTCCAACTACCGATCTTTCTTTGTTTCCCACTTTTGTATTCCCAGCGCCAGTAATTACCAGTACATCTTGATTGCATGTTGACCAATTTCAGACTGCAGAAGCTGGTAAACTGCTTCCCTTTCCTCATCTTTGGTATTAGTGGTTGGTGCATAAATTTGCACGATAGTCGTGAACCAGTCTTCCTTGGAGGCGTATGGATGTTTTCCTATCACTGACAGCATTGTACTGCAGGAGAGATCTGGAATGTTCTTTCTGATGATGAATGTGACGCCATTCCTCTTCAGTCTGTCCTGGTGGAGTGTCCGATTCAAAATGGCCAGTACTGGTCCGTTTCAGCTCATTAATGCTGAAGATACTTATTCCCAATGATTTCATTTCATTTTTGACAACTTCCAGTTTTCCTTGATTTAAACTTTGTACATTCCACTTTCCGGTTATTAATGGGTGTTGGCAGCTATTTCTTCCCAGTTTGAATCGTGCCACATCAGCGGACGGAGGTCTTGAACGCTTTACCCCACCCACGTCATTAAGGTCGACTCCTTTGAGGAGGCAGCTCTTCGCCAGTCGTATTCTGAACGCTCCAACCCGAGGGGCTCGTCTCCCAGCACGCTGTCCCACTGGTGTTCATAAAGCTTTCACCGACCAGTGCTTTGGAACCACACCACAAGACCTCCATCCTGCACTGTCTCAGTCTGGAAGCGCCGTCGAAGCCTGTCCACCGTGACCGGGCTGGTATTCGAAATACTGGTGCCATAGCTTCCAGCCTCCGAGCAACACGCAAGCACGTGAACAACGTGGTACCACAAACTGCCAGACGAGTGTGCCTTGGTTGGGAGGACTTGCTGGTTTGTGCAGTGTGAACACGTCCACATGACCAATTTCATGCTCCTAGTGTGAGATCACTGAACTTGGCAGTGGGAGGAGCACGTGCAGTAGCAACTCACACAGGCAACAGTAGTAGCCTCAAGAGCACAGCCCCACCAGCTGCCTTGGAGTAGATTCTGACTCATGGCAGAATCAAAGTAGAACTGAGTTCAAAGTAGAACTGAGCTCCGTAGGGTTGTCAATACCCGATATTTCAGAAGGAGATCGACAAGACTTTCTTCCACTGTGCCTCGGGGTGCACTCAAACCTCCAACCTTTCAGGGAGCAACCCAGCATGTAAACCATCTGCACCGCCCAGGGACTCGCCGGGAAAGTGCAGATCGGACTAGAAAGTAGCACAAGATCAGGAGGTCATACAATTTGAGTGCTGGTCGCCTTTGTTTTGACATCATCCGTTTAATCCAAGTTTATATTATTTAAGGTTTAAATATGGTTAATTTAAAGTAACGTCTGGATTTAAAAACCGCTCACAAACGTCCAGCTTGCCTAGTGAGCCCGTGGAAGTGGCCCTGGCGTTGTGTGTGCCTGAGGTTTGCGAGCAGAGGCCCCACGCCTGGTGAATAGGCAGAGGAGAGTGGAGGACGGGGAGGCTGTGCAGCTGATAGGACGCAGAGACCCAGGACTCATCACAGGGGTTTTCTCTTTCCTCTTGGACCAAACTTCCATGGCGTCAATGGCTCCATCACTTGCATAAGCAGAGGGTGAAGTTACTCAAGACCAGTCCTTGATCCCTCCCAGGCCCAACCCGTGGCCTCTCCTTCCAAAGTGCATACTTGTGACTGTCTCCCACCCTTCAGTTCAGAACGCTGACTTTCTTTCATTCTTGGCAAGGGCCATAGGCAAGTTAGCTTTGGCTCCCAATTTGCTGAATCGCCTTCAATATATTGCTTAACCTCTCTGAACCTCTTTTCCTTTCAGAATATTAGGGAGAGTGCTTAGAAGTCTCTGTTACCTAAAAGTGGCAAATATTATCTCACTTAGTGTCACAGTCCTGGATACAGGCATTGTTGTTACACCCATTTCACAGGTGGGCAGACTGAGGCTGCAAGAGCAAGAAGCTAAAGGGTTAGCCCAGGGTCTCATAATCGTAAGCATTTGATACACTTACAGGCCTATCTGTTGTTTGGCTGAAAGTTGAGCCATGGGGGGTGAGTTCCATTCCAGGCTTGAAGGGTGTAAAAGGGCCACAGTCCCAAGGGGTCCTGGTCTCTATCAGACCTGTCAGTCTGGTCTTTTTTATGGTGGGGGATTGATTGACTTAGTTGTCTGAAAATAGCATCACACAGCATGTAGTTTTCTGCATCTTACTTTTCCAAATGTGTAAACATATTAGTTTCCCAGGGCTGCTGTAAGAAAGTACCACAAACTGGATGGCTTTTAACAACAGAAATTTCTTCTCATAGTTCTTGTTGTTGTTGTTCTTGGTGTTGTGCCATTGCGTTGCCTCTGACTCACAGTGTCCCCATGTACAACAGAGTGAAACACTTCTGGTCCTGTGCCAGCTCCATGACCCTTGCTGTACCTGAGCCCATCATTGTAGCCGCCGTGCAGTCCATCTTGCTGAGGGCCTTTCCCTGTTTCGCTGACTCTCCACTTTACCAACCATGATGTCCTTCTTCAGGGAGTTGTCCCTCTGACAACATGACCAAAGTAAGTGAGATGCGGTCTGGCCATTCTCACTTCCAGGGAGCATTCCAGCTTCACTTGCTCCAGGACAGACTTGTTCCTTCTTCTGGCAGTCCATGGGACTCTTCACCAACACCACAACTCGAGCATCAACCTTCTTCAGTCTTCCTTGTTCATTGTCCAGCTCTCACATGCAAAGGAGGCGATTGAAAATACCATGGCTTGGGTTAGGCTCATCGTAGTCTTCAAAGAGACATCTTTGCTCTTCAGCACTTCAAAGAGGTCTTTTGCAGCAGATATGTCCAGGGCAATATGTCGTTTGATGTCTTGACTGCTGCTTCCGTTGGTGTTGATTGTGGAACCAAGTAATATAAAATCTTGGACAACTTCAATCTTTTCTACATTTATCGTGATGTTGCCTATTGGTCCAG